TTTAATATATTAAATTAATATATTAAATTAACATAATTAATATAAAAAGTGACTCAGAATGATGAAACCTTTCTGCCCTTTTCCATCAGCGTCAAAAAACTAAAAAAACTGTAAAAAAGTAGAATTTATGGTAGAATATAATAGAATTTAATATGTTAAATTAATATAATTACATAAATTTAATATATTAATTTAATACATTATATTTATGTAACAATATAATTAATTATATTAGTTTAATATATTGATTTAATATATTAAATTAATATAATTTATATAAGAAGTGACTTGAAATGATAAAACCTTTCTGCAAATATCCTTAAGTGTAAAAAAACTTAAAATACAGAATCTAATTTAATAAATTAAATGAATTCAATTAAATATATATTTTAATATATTAGTTAATTTAATGTATTAAATTAATATAATTAATATTAGAAGTGACTCGAAATGATAAAACTTTTCCGCGATTATCCATAAGTGTAAAAAAACTTAAAATACAGAATTTAATTTAATAAATTAATTCAATTAAATATATTTTTAATATATTAGTTAATGTATTAAATTAATATAATTAATATTAAAAGTGACTCAAAATTATGATACTTTTCCGCGATTATCCATAAGTGTAAAAAATAAAGTGTAAAAAACTAAAAGTATCGGATTTACTGTAGAATGTAATAGAATTTAATATTAATATAATGATATTAGTTTAATATATCAATATATTTAGTTCATGTGTGTGCGCTTACTTTTGCCCGCAGAGCTGCAGGAGGCCAAGGCTGCCGGCCCTGCCGTGCACAGGCAGGCAGGGTGTAAAAAAAGTGTAAAAAACTAAAAATATAGGATTTACTGTAGAATGTACTAGAATTTAATATTAATATAATGATATTAGTTTAATATATGAATATATTTATTTCATATTTTGCCCGCAGAGCTGCAGGAGGCCAAGGCTGCCGGCCCCGCCGTGCACAGGCAGGCCAGCATTGAGACCGACAGGGTGTAAAAAAAGTGTAAAAAATTAAAAATATTGGATTTACTGTAGAATGTACTAGAATTTAATATTAATATAATGATGTTAGTTTAATATATCAATATATTTATTTCATATTTTGCCTGCAGAGCTGCAGGAGGCCAAGGCTGCCGGCCCCGCCGTGCACAGGCAGGCCAGCATCGAGACCGACAGGGTGTAAAAAAAGTGTAAAAAACTAAAAATATAGGATTTCCTGTAGAATGTAATAGAATTTAATATTAATATAATGATATTAGTTTAATATATGAATATATTTATTTCATATTTTGCCTGCAGAGCTGCAGGAGGCCAAGGCTGCCGGCCCCGCCGTGCACAGGCAGGCCAGCATCGAGACCGACAGGGTGTCCAGGGAGTTCATCGAGTTCATCAGGACCTACCAGAAACCTGGCCAGGACATCTACAAGCAATGCAAACTCTTCCTGGACACCATGAGCCACAAAAGGGTCAGCTCTGAATGCTCCTGTCTCCATCAAATGGGGAAATTTGGGAGAGGGAGG